ATACTATAGATAGTTAGGGCGCCGCCATCTTTCTTTCTTTTACCGTCGTTCCTACAAATAGCAGCGCACTCCTGTAGTAGCAGCGGAGACGCAGAGCGACCACTATTAACGAACGCCCCCCAAGTCTAATTATGCTGCGATGATGAACTCGTTTCTAACTACTTGACTCCTTCTACTTCTAGAATTCTAACCAGTTCACTCAGCTTATTTTGCCTATGATAACGTCTACTACTGATTAATTTTGTCTCATCGTACAATTTGCAAGATGGCTGCTCCTGCTGGACTAAATATATTTTTTATAATGGTCAAAAAATTATCATAATTGTGCTAGTTTATCATAAAATTATGATGATTACGCCATTTACAGTTTTTACACAGGATCAGTCAAACTTCCTAACTCAACACACTGTTCAAAGATATTCAGAACCTTGCTCCGCCCTTTTAACAGTCTGCGTTACTGAACATGGCCCGGCGTTGAACGAAATTCGTTCGATCTCAGGGTCGACTATCGATCGCCCGATCATCAACTCAACGTCATATTATTGGACGGAAAGTAGACTGTTCATTCGACACAACTTTCAGATCCAAGAAGTTGTATTTTTCGAACGACGATTGGTGACGCTCTTGCGGATTTGAAAGTTTGCGAGAAAGGAGCAATTCGCTGCAAGCCACAGAAGTCATGCACGTGTTTGTACAGTGATCTTTGTTTTAGACGTGTCTTCCGTACGGTGGGATTACGAACCAGGAAACTGTTTAATAGATTTTTATTGATATATATAGAACTATAGAATTGAGAATTGATATATATAGAACTATAGAATTGAGATTTTGAAATAACTACTAGAAATTCGTCCATAACGCCCGCTTTGTTAGTAATTGTAAGGATTTTAATTAATGTTTTAAATTATAGTGTTTTCGATCGTTTTTACACAAGTTTAAATTTTTTATAAAGTAAAGAAAAAAAGAGCGTTACATGCATGGTGGGAAAATATCATTTAAAACCGATAAAAATTTAAAATAAATTTAAAGAAACTTAAATCGTATTTTATTATTATTATTTTGTTTCTAGAAAATAATTAGCAAAATTTGCTTCTAAAATTTTACTAATATCCGATTGTTATTATCTATCAGGAAATATTTATATCGCCGTTTAATTCATAAAGTACTCCAAAATATTCACAGAATATCATAGAATTAAATCTAATGCAAAACTTTCGGATTTTTGCATAGTTTTTCTACAAACTTCTATTTTCTAATTAATTTTCATCAATTACTACTTTAAAATCGTGGAATAATGACATGAGAGAGTGGCCAAGTTTGGAATATCAAGCTATACTCGAATACCTGATTAAAAGTAAAGTCTATGATTATCGAGAAATGCTTAATTACAGGAGTCTTGACTCTTATAATTATTTTTCAAGTGGTAAAGTAGATGAAATTTTAATTAATAAATTGTCACAAAATATCTGTTCCTGGGACAAATGTACAGCCATCACAAACTCTATTTGCAATTAACCATTCTGTATGGACTTGTGCGTCTAATGATGGTAAAGTTATTTATCTAGCTAAGTGATTCTCAATCTTTTTGAAATCGGGGCACATTTAAAATCCTACAAAAAATTGTAGGCGCACTGTATACAAATTTCTGAGAAATAATTTATAATAATTAAGTCAAATATTAAAGAAAAAATATATCAAGTGCAAGCGTGCTTTTATGGCAATGAAACGAAATAAATACGACAAAATTAAATTTATTCTGACATTAAAAAACATTTTTATGTTACACTTTTTGAGTTATGCTTTTTAGAATTTGTAAAAGAGACTGGTTAAAAATAAAAAAACGACAAAAAAGTTATCTTTTTATACGAGGTCTGTTCAAAAAGTATCGGACTTTTATTTTTTGCGCGTTAACCAATGATGCGCGGGAGGCCTCTTTCGGTGGAGTTGTGGAGGGGACAGTTATACACAGCCCTGAATTTTTTCCCGCCTTCAGGAAGCGTCAGTCGTTGGCAGTCGGCCTATGAGTGAGGATATGTAGTGAGCTCTCGTCGGATTCCACTAAGTTGGAAAATGACTGAACAACGTGAGCAGCGATATTACATCAAATTTTGCCAAAAACCTTGGCGATACCCGAGCGTAAACCATTTGCAAGATTCAGCAGGCTTTCGGGGACGATCCTCGAGGCCAAAAAAAGCGCGGCAGGCCCACAGCAATATCAAGGTCATGTTGACAGTTTTTCGACTCTCGTGGGTGGTGTATCGTGAGTACGCACCACAAGGCCAAACCATCGCAAAGGAGTACTACCAGGAGGTCCTTCGTCGTCTTTTCGATGCTGTGCGACGCAAACGACCGGATTTGTGGTCGATCAAAACTTGGCAGTTCCATTATGATAACGCATCCGCCCATTCTGCGCATCTGATTCGGCCTTTCGTCGCTAAACACAACACTCCTGTGGTTCGTCACGTTCCGTACTCCCCCCACATGGCTCCGTGTGACTTTTGGCTATTTCCCAAGCTGAAAATGCCGCTAAAAGGAACCCGGGTTTAGTCGAGAGAAGACGTCGTGCGAAATGCGACGGACCGGCTGATGGCCATTCCAAAAGATGCGTTCCAGCAGCGTTTCCAAGCAATGGCAGGAACGCTGGGAGAAGTGTATACACTACCAAGGAGACTACTTTGAAGGAGATCAGGGTTTTGTACCTCAAAATCAATAAATGTATTTTTGCCGACCAAAGGTCCGATACTTTTTGAACAGCCCTCGTATACTGTATTTGAAAAGCAAACTCATTTTTTTTAACTCTTTCCGTCTTGTAGGCACTAAGGCCAAGACTCCACTAGCGTAAAAACGGGCTAAAAACCTTCACCGTAAAATCTTTTAATCACGTGACCCTGATATTTTACGCTTGAGCAGGTCGTAAAACCAGCGTAAAAGCGAGTTGAGCAGTGTTCAACTTTGGACGCGAATAGGCCGTAAAACGGTACCATCCACCAATCAGAAGTCAGTTAAATCTAGGTCATTGTGACGCGGTGCGAAAATGGCGAAAAACGAGCTTTTGTGTACGTTCCCTCGTAGCCAATTTTGCCACGTCTACCGAATTTTCGGTAGATCTAACGATTTTGGGACCGATCTACCGATTGAAGCACCAAATCTACCGAAAAGTTTACGATAATTCAAGAAAGAAATTTTATTTTCAATGTATCTAAAAATTCTCAATAAAACATTTTTTTGTACCTTCATTTCTTATATATTGTAAGAGACTTTATTGCAAAGATTTTGTCTCGTTTTGTTGAGAATATCTTGTGTCTGCCCCATTCTTCAGCTAATGGAATAGAAAGAATATTTTCGTAAATAAATCTGTTAAACACGAAACACGGAAATAAACTGACTTGTGAGCTCTGAAACAATCACTGGCTTACTTCTTACTAAACAATTAATTGGATAAAAATACTGTTACGATTTTCCTGTAAAAGATAATTTAATTTCAAAAATAAGAAACAGTGTTAAAAACATACAAACGGAAGATATTGAATAATAATAATTATTATTAATATCCGAAAAATAAAAGGTAATACTGTATTTTGTTAGAAAAATAAGACAAAATGTACCTACTTAATTAGTAAATTATTATTTTTTTACGTA